GGCCCCGGAGCGCTCTTGTGGTGAACTTGGCGGCGACAAGATGACTTTGGAGGCGATCCGCTACTCACGGGGCTCACTACAGATCCTTGACCAGCTGCTGCTGCCCCAGCAGAGCCGCTACGAGGCGGTGGGCTCAGTGCGCCAGGCCTGGGAGGCCATCCGCGCTATGAAGGTGGGGCCACGCGGCGGGCCCGGGGTGGGAGGGATCATGGTGCCTGCGGTCCCTGACGCCTCCATTCCCCAACCAGGTGCGGGGTGCCCCAGCCATTGCGCTCGTGGGCTGCCTCAGCCTTGCGGTGGAGCTGCAGGCGGGCGCCGGGGGACCGGGACTCGCCGCGCTCGTGGCCTTTGTGCGCGACGCGCTAAGCTTCCTTGTCACCGCCCGGCCCACTGCCGTCAACATGGCCCGCGCCGCCCGAGACCTGTCCGAGGCTGCAGCCCAGGAGGCGGAGCAGGAGGGCGCCACCGAGGAGACAGTCCGGGAGAGGTAGAGGACCCTTGTGCCAGGCACTGCTCTAACCAGAAGCTATTCATTCAGTTTTTTAGCACGGCGACCTGTTCTACAGATGGGGAAACTGAGGCAGGGCGCGCTTAGTCCAAGCCCATACAGGCAGGGCTGGGACTCGACACCGGGCAGCCTGGCCCTGAGGCCCTTGAACTCAGTCCCTTGACTTACCTTCCCTGAATATGCCCAGCTCTGTCTGCCCTTCAAGGCCCTTTCAGGTGCCACTTCGTTTACCTGGTTTTTGCTTTTGAGGAATTTTGTTCCCAGCCCTGATCCTTTCCCTGCCTTCTTCTCACTCACTTTCCACATCTGCTACACACTCTCCATGTTCCTTAACTGCCAGGCTTGCTCCTGCCTCAGGGCCTTTGCACACACTGTTTATGCAAGCCAGATATCCACCTATCCAATCCCCTCTCCTTCAGATTTCAGCCTTCCCACCCACTGTATAATGCGGCTCATCCCCTGTCCTCTGTCTCCTGACTCTGCTGCCTTTTCCTTTGCTTTATTGACTACTCATCTGCTTTCCCCACCCCCGTGTCAGCTCCATAGGGGCAGAGATTTTTGTTTTGTTCACTGCTGTGTCCCCCAGCACCTGACACACAGGAGGTGCTTGATAAACATGTGTCTTGAGAGCAAATGAAGTGACAGTTTGGTGGCTGTGACAAAGGATCCAGCCCCACAGCTGTGAGAGGCTTTCAGCACGAAGAGCCCCCACAGAGCAGTGTTGGGCAGGGAAGAGGGGCTAGTGTGGGCCCTAAAGCCTGGTGGCTGATGCTGAGAGTCCCTTGTTGGCCCCAGAGTGATCCACTGGGCTGAGGACATGCTGGAGAAAGACCTCAGGGACAATCGAAGCATTGGGGACCTGGGAGCCCGCCACCTCCTGGAGCGGGCAGCACCCGAGGGGGACAAGGTGACGGTACTGACCCACTGCAACACTGGTGCACTGGCCACTGCTGGCTATGGCACAGCCCTAGGTGAGTGGGCATCCACAGGGATGTGGGAGGGCCATTTTTGGATGCAAGAGAAAGAAACCCAAACCACTTTGTACACCCCCCAAAATATGAATTTATTAGTTCTTGTGCAGAAATGCTCAGAGGTTGTGTTCAGGTATGGCTAGATCCAGGGGTTCAAATAATAGCATCAGGATCCATCTATCCGTGTCCCTAAGCTCTGAACTCCTCCATGGTGGCATCATCCTCACGCTCTGCTAGTCAGTCAAGATTCAACTCATGAGGAAAAGCCAAAGGTCTCTATTCCAACTGTCAAGAGGTTTCCTAATATATCAGGGCCTCTGATGGAGTCCCCTACCCATCCACGATCAGTCACTTGATAGGCCTGGCCTGAGCCATGTGCCTAGAAAGTGTTTTGGATGTGGACTCCAGGAGAACTAAGGGCAAGGACGTAGCCTCCTAAAGAAAGATTAGGTTAGCTGTGACCAGGACTGGGAGGACTGGGTCCTGGGGGTCAAGGCAGCAGATTCCACTTGATCCTAAATTCTCCAGGAGATTTCCTTTCCTGCCTCATCCCACCCTTGTGCCTGGAGACTAAGGCCCTCATGGTAAGACATTCATTTATTCATTCGTTGAACAAATATTTATGCTTAATAAATGCTGATTTACTGTGTACCCCATCATTCATGCAGGCATCTATTCCTTCAGTCACTCAACATTTATTAAGTACTTTCTGTGTGCCCCATCATTCACTCATGCATGCATTCCTTCATTCACTCAACAAACATTTATTAATGTCATGTGAGATGGAGGAATCAGGAAGGCCTCACCAAGAAAGTGTTCTCTAAGCACACATGTACCGGGCAGAGGGAACAACCACTGCAAGGGCCCAGGGTTGGGACTGCCTGGCCAGCCTTTGGAGAACTGTGCCCCTAACCAATGGGCCACCCTGCCTATCTGTCCCTTCTCGTCTCATCCTGGCCTGCTCCCGATGCGCCGGGCCCCACAGGTGTGATCCGCTCACTGCACAACTTGGGCCGTCTGGAGCGTGCCTTCTGCACGGAGACTCGGCCTTACAACCAGGGAGCCCGGCTGACAGCCTTCGAACTGGTCTACGAGCAAATCCCCGCCACCCTCATTGCAGACAGCATGGCGGCAGCTGCCATGGCCCACCAGGGCGTGTCAGGTCAGCAGGCGGGGCGCCGGTGGGCAGGGCTCCAGGTTTCCGGGGCAGGTTGTCACTCACAACATCTCATTCCCTAGCCGTGGTTGTGGGAGCAGACCGCGTGGTTGCCAATGGCGACACAGCCAACAAAGTGGGCACCTACCAGCTAGCCATCGCCGCCAAGCACCATGGCATCCCCTTCTATGTGGCTGCCCCCAGCTCCTCCTGTGACCTCCGTCTGGAGACAGGCCAGGAGATCATCATTGAGGAGCGCCCCGGCCAGGAGCTGACCGATGTCAATGGGGTCCGGATTGCGGCACCTGGTAAGCCATGTGCTCAGCAGGGCACCACAGTGCCTGGGCACCTCAGTTTAGGCACCCTGGCCCGTTTACGGGTGGCAGGTGGCATCTGCGGTGTCATCAACCTTCCTTGGGGTGTCATAAGCAGCTTCTTCAAGCCATTTTTTTAGAGCAGAAGCATCTTGGAGGTCAGATTCAAGGTCAGAAGGTATAACTGATGAGTTGGGAAACCTTGAGCAAATTGTCTTGCTATTCTCTGTTTTCTCACCTGAAGAAGAAATAAGAGTATCTCCTGGCCAGATGCCTATGAAGAGACACAGATATTTCTCATTTTTCCCACACTTCCTGGCTGTGTAGCCAGGTTGCCTAAAACTCTCTCATCTTGGCTGTGACCTCCCCCATACACCCCAGGGCGTTCAGTGAATGAACCCATGTGACATGGAGAACAGTGCCTGGCCCTTAGTGCTCATTAAATATTAACAAGTAGGATTGAAAACCTTTTATGAAAGGGACCGGTTAAAACCTCTAAGCACTGAAAATACTGTGGGGCCACTACTTTCTAGTCCGAATATGGAGTCAGAGTAGAAATAACACTCTACAGCTAAGTGGAGGGAAGTCTTAATATTCTGTTGTTTTCTGCTGTGGTTCCTTACAGCTTTTTAAAAATAGATCCATTAATTCTGAAATATTTTTTTCTCTTTTTTTTTTTTTGGTGCCCCTGCTTTTCTGGAGGCTTAATTAGCACTGGTCAAAATCCCTAAGACCATGAAAAGCGGAGTTGACAACTCACCTTGCCCCTCCCCCAAGAAAACCGAGTAACGCAGGTTGTCCCGGGGCCCCGACAGTCTGCTCTGGCAATGGTGACAGAGATGCAGACCCCAGGGGGATGGATCTTCTGATTTTTCCAAGAGAAGCCATACTTTTTTTTTAAACAAAATAAGTGCATTTAATGTGTTTAAAGAAATTAACTTCTTTTTTAAGTATTACTTTTTAAATCTTTTTTACCACCTTTATTGTGGTATAATTCCTGTACAGTAAACTACACATATTTCAGATGTACAATTTGACGAATTTTGATAGATGTATATACACCTATGAAACCACCACCACAATCAAGACAGCTACTATGAAATTTCCCACATTTTGAAAGCTGGCAGCTAATTCAGTGGTCTTAAAAAACGGTGAGCCAGAGACAAGAAAGTTACAGGCCACCAGTTTGCAGTCTCTTGTGTAAGAGATTGTTATTCATTCAGTAACTATTTTTGAGCACCTGACCAGTGCTAGGGTCTGGGGATACAGGAGTGAAAAAAGATACAAAAGTTCCTGCCCTCATGGAACTGACAGTCCAGTGGGGAGACAGATGACAAACACAATAAATAATAAAATGAGTACATGTTAGGAAGGAGAAATAAATGAGGTGAGGAAGGATTAAACAGGATGATCAGAGAAGTTCTCACTGAGAAGGTGACATTTGAGCAAAGATCTAGAGGAAATGAGACATCAAATCACATGCCTATCTGAGAGAAAGCATCCAGGCAGAGGGCACAGCCTGTGCAAAGGCCCTGAGGTGGGTTGTTGGAGGTTCCTGGGAGCAGGCATAAGTGGGGTGGGTGTATATAAGACTTTGAAGCTTTCTTCTTGAACAGCAACAATGCAGGAATGGTAGGGGATCTAAATTCATTACTAGGTGTCAAAACCCATGCCTTTGTGAATTTGTGGGATGAGGATCCCCAGATTCTCAAGGATCCCCAACCCCAAGAACCACCATGGGAGAAACAGGTGACAATAGCTTGAGAACTTTCACTGAACCAAATACCTGCGCTCTTGCCTCTCCTTGCCCCTGCAGGAATTGCGGTTTGGAATCCTGCCTTCGATGTCACCCCGCACGACCTCATCACCGGCGGCATCATCACGGAGCTGGGTGTCTTTGCCCCTGAGGAGCTCCGGGCAGCCCTAAGTGCCAGGGGCTCCTGAGTGGGAGACCCTAGATGGACTCCAGAAGTAACCAACCCAGCTCTCCATATCCTGCCCTCATCCCTCTAGGTTTTATAATAAACATATTGAATGGCCTGCCCAAAAGCTGACCTCCTTCCCCAAACCAGTTCTTCCCAGAGCAGGGAAAGCAGACAGGACCTTTGCATGGCTCCCAAGAGCCCAGCAGTTGGAGCCAGGCTGCCCGAGTCCATACCCTAGTCCTGCCACTTTTTCTGCTATGTGATTTTGGCCAAGTCACTTCACCTCTCCATGCTTTTGTTTCCTCAGGACCAATACTAGTACCACCTTCTTAGGTTGCTCTCAGGTGCAAAATTTTAAAGCGGGCACTAAGAAGCTCAGTAATCAAGGTAAATAATAGTTTCATGCAATATTTTTGAAAAGTCAAAATTAATGCAAAAAAAAATCCAACATGAACAAAATATCAAGATATTAAAGGGGTCGGGGGTTATAGCTCACTGGTAGAGCATGTGCTTGGCATGCACATGGTCCTGGGTTCAATCCCTAGCGCCTCTGTGAAGGGTAAAAAATACACATATTTAAAGAGCTTTAAAAAAAAGTTTTTTTAAAGATAATAAGTAAAGTGGAACACTGACCTTCCCTCACTCCTGATACCAAACTCATTCCAATAAAACTTTATTTACAACATCAGGTAGTCAGTCTGCAGGCTGTAGTTTGACGACTTGATTTAATAGTAAAATACTGTTAATACTGAACATATTATTTATCTTGATTACTGAAGTTTGGGGGACCCTAACTTTTGCACCACAGTGCCTCACTCGCCTCACCCTGGATCCTAGACTTGAATTTTATGTATAAAGAGCATAAGACAGTATAAGTTTTACAAAACAAATAAGCGCCCAGTGTTAGCTTATCATTAAAACCTTTACTTCGAAAGTTTTGCTAAACGCTGGGTATGATGAGCCACCATCGTGGGTAACTGTCCCTTTAACTCTTTGCCACGTTGTATCCCGTGAGCCACTGCGCCCTCCGGTCCCACTGTATCCCATCGTGCCCCGCGCCATCCGGCGGCGGCCGCGGCGCACAGCCCCTCCTCTTCCGGTGCGTGCCTGATCATGGCGCAGGGGCAGCGCAAGTTCCAGGCGCAGAAGCCGGCGAAGAGCAAGACTGCGGCGGTGGCCTCAGCGCGGAACCGGGGCCCGAGGAAGGGCGGTGAGGAGCGGGCCAAGGGCTGGGGGCGAGGTGGGCCCGGGGATCTCCGGCCTCACGAGAGCGCATCTCTCCCCAGGTCGCGTTATCGCACCCAAGAAGGCACGCATCGTGCTGCAGGAAAAGCTCAGGAAGGTGAGTGCTGGCGTGCGGGGGTCAAAAGACGAAGCGTGGAGGCTGGTGAGGGGCCCAGTGCTGTGAGCCTCAGTTTCTTCCCCTGTGCAGTGGGTACAGAAACATTACGTACCAATCAACAGGCCTCCCAAAGCAAGGACTGGCTTGCAAAAAGTGTTGAATACACGGTAGCTGCTGCTATTATGCTACTTGATAGTAACTTAGTGGAGTAGAATGCGTGGGAAAGGAGTTGAAAACCCAGCTTTGCAAGAGAGTGCTGCGTGCAAAGCGCAGCTCCATTGACAGTATTTCTTCATCCTGAGCCTCTTCCCTATGAAATAGTCTTAATTTCCTCCTAAAATTGTAAAGATTCGATGCCATAGGATACCTGTAAAACCCTGAGAACAGCACAGAACTGAAGTAAACGTCATTTTTATGATTGTCTACAAGTGTAGCTTTTTAATATACAGATAAGTAGGATTGAGCTTATAAAGAAGTTAAGAGAGTTTTTTTAATTATAAAGAGAAATTATAAAATATTCTATGGTGGCGTCAAAAATCTGAGTTCAGATTGTACTCCACATCCTAACTTGACCCATACTCTTAAGCAAATTGTTTAGTGCCCCTAGAGCCTTAGTTTTCTTAGACCCTGGTACCCAGTGGTTTGCTTACCTCCCTCTGGCAGGCAGAGAGGGAAAGTGTCTCATGGGCATCTCCAACTCAGTATGTCCAAAACCAAACCAGGCTCCCGATCCCCCCTCTCTGCTTCCTCACCCCATCACCATCCTGCCACAGTCTCTTTCCAGATACTCAAGATTCTCCCATTTCTCTCACATCCAGATTGGATCTCATCCTTTTTGCCTTCTGGATTAATCTGGAATCCACCCACTTCCCACCTCCCTGATCCCCTACCTGTTCCCACCCCATCATCTCCCACCTGGACCAGGACAGTGGTGGCATCCTCCCTGATCTTCTGCCCTGCACCCCCACACCATTCCCCGTAGCAGCCAGGGGGCGCCCGTGAGCACCTGAATCAGGGCACTTCCTCCAAACCCTCCATGGCTCCCACCTCACTCAGTAAGGGCTCAGTTCCTCCCACAGCCCATAAGACCCGGCGTGCTCTGCTCCTGTCTTGTCCCTGCCCTCACCTCTTCCCCTTATTCCCTTCCTCCAGCCTCATTGGCCCCTTGTTTTCTTTTCTTCCTAGCAGCCCTTATCACCTGTAACCATTTTAATAGCTTGACAGAGTGTGTCATTGACAATTACGTTGTCCACACACACACTGAATGTCAGCTCCATGAGGGCAGAGGTTTTTCTTTGTCTTCACTGTTGTGTCCCCTGTGCCCAGGCATGTGGTGACGGTCATGGTGGTCCTGGTTCATTGGAACTTAGAGATGGGGCAAGGGAGCAGGTTAGATAATAATGATTAAACTACTAGTTTTGGACCCAAACACTTGGGTTCTGATTCCTATGCCTTTACTTGCTCACATCTGTATCTCTCAGAGCCCCAGTTCACCATTTGCAAAGGAGAGATGATAAGGGACATGAGAGGGCTGCCTGCCTGGAAGCTGAGGCCAGAGACCCTGGGCAAGTTCCTCCTTGCTGCAGGTGCCTCAATTTCCCATCTGTAAAATGGGGGTGCATGGAGGTTTAGAAGCTGAGGTTCAAAGATGAGAAGGCATTTTTTGTGTGCAGTGCCCTAAAGACTGCAGGGCAGGAGCAGGACTTCAACACCAGCCACCAGACTCTCGGGTGCAGTTGGCAGGGGAGTTGCCGATCCACCCTGCTCTGAGCTCACAGGAAGAAGTGAGCAGGTCAGGCCCTCCCTCCATCTCAGGTCCCAGTCTGATTGCACCGTGGTTGCTCTCTCAGAACCTGGAGGTTGGGATCCGGAAGAAGATCGAACATGACATGGTCATGAAAGCCAGCAGCAGTCTGCCCAAGAAGCTGGCACTGTTGAAGGCCCCTGCCAAGAAGAAGGCAGCAGCCTCCTCCTCCACCAAGACGCCTTCCTAAGGATGCCGCCCTGGCAGAGTCCATCACCGCAGCCCCCTCCTCTGTGCTCAGACCTGTTCAGGTGACCCCCCGTAGGGAGGAGGGGCCATGCTCCCCAGAGCCTTGTGTTGCTCTTCGAACTCTAGTGGGGGCCAGGCCCATGACCAGGTGATCAGCAGGTCAGAAGTGCACTGGTTGACTTCCCACGGTGCC